TGTAAATTTTATTGTGTTATCCATAACTAAAAAATATTGTTAAGCTGTTTCACTACTAAAGAATCAATCATTCTCTTGTAACCTTCTTTTATCTTTGCAAAGTAAGGAGAGAAAGTGTACTACTCTTAAAATATTTCGGACAGGGGTATTTTTTGGTCTTTTCATCTGGAGTCTGGAGAATGCATGTTATGAAAGAGGGTTGAAATGATTCATTAAATACTCTCAATTCCCCATCCCTTATTGAAAATGACTTTCCTTTCTCTTTCAATTTGAACCCTGCACCTAATACAACTGGATTTTTTTTAAAAAAAAAAAAATTAAAAATCCACTCATGGAGGTATTTATATGAATCAAACATTTATTTAGACTCTTGACAAATAATTGATTAATAATACTTTCAAGTAGGTATTGTTCAAGTAGGCTTCAAAAGGGTATTTACTGTCAATCACTGAAGAGGTGTTAGGGGGGGGGGGGTGTAAACCTTTTCCCACTGAAAGTAGTCAAACTGAATTGAATCAAAAAATTATGAAATTGCATACCAGCAAAGTCTCCTGTATTGTACGACTCTCTACCCGTATATTCTCAAATTTCTCCGTATTTGTGAAATAAATTTTTAAAAAATGTTCGATTAAATATCCACTAATGGCTAATATACTTCGCTTATTCCTCAACAAATGGTGCTATTGCCAGTACTGATGTTGCTTGTTAATAGTTTAAGTAATAATAAATGATGGTTTAAAAAAATCTTCTTCAGATTAATATTTATATACAAATATTTTACTTTATTTGACTTACATGATTATGCATGGTATATTAAAACACTTCACGCGTAGCCTAAAAAATATCGCTAGTAAAATCTCCGTTATTTTATTTCTCCAATGTTGGCAGGTATGAAATTGATTTAAAAATGCTAAATGATTTAAAAATGTACCATGGAGATATGGTAAGTCATAGTTGCTTAAAACAAACCTATCTCATCTTTTTTTTTTTTTCCCAATTGCATAAATATAAAACAAAAGCATGTGTATATAAAACATTTTTAAATCTATTCTTTTTGTACTTGAATAGGTATTATACTATATTAATTCAGCCTTCATTATCATTTCACCCTTCTCGCAAACTGACAATTTTTTCGATTGCAAGAGTGTCTGCTTAGTAGAGGCTTCACTTTTCTAATTTAGAGAAAAATAAAATAAATCAGGTTATTATTACCAGACTTTTTATATTCGTATTCATTAAGTGTAGGTTTGATGAATAATATTTTATTTACCTATATTATTTATTTTTAAATAATTAATATATTAATAACATTTTTAAAACTGAAAAATTTCACTATTTTGACTTTTCAATGATTAAATGAATATGAGCAATAGGGCAATTCCATAAGAAAACAACATAACGAGAAAAAAAATGAATACTCTAATAACATCCCTCCATTAACAAATTTCTAATATTTTTTTTATTAACTATTACTTAAAAATTAAAAGTAATACTTTATAAGTATTTTGTAATAACAATAATAAAAGGTTTAATAAAATTTTAATGTTTGTATTAGTCGTAAAAGTTTTTCGATTCACCACTTACTATAAGTACAGTGTGCAAAAAAAAAAAAAAAGACAACCCGGACTTTTGGTCTAATGATAGGATTTTTCATATTCTAGGACTCAATTTTAATGGCTCGAGGATCAGGCACAAAGATGTACTTTTTCTGGATAAACGTACCTTTTTTTCGACGGATTCGGATTTCTGTCCCCAAAAATATTTAGGGTAACCACAGCTCGGTCAGCAGAGTGCTCCATCCTTAATGTTAGTTTTACTTTTTGCTTATTTCGCTATATTTTGAGAATTTTTTAAGCGAATTGAAGAAACATTTTTGCAGGCAATTATGAAACTCGTTTATCTAAAGATAATTCGTTACAAAAGATAACTTTTTGTAAATATTTATTATTTTATTGAATAAATTGAATTGTATGGTAATACAAAATTTGAGCAGTTCCTGAAAAACTGAATTTCTAAACAGTCTGGTATTTAAAATTCCATCCGTCTATCCATCAACTATTCAACCGATTTTGCTCAAATTTTGTATTTTGCTATGTGAAATTATGTTCATTAAAATGATGCGAAGAATTCTATACCTTACAATTCAAAAAAAATTTTTTTAACCGTTATTAAATAAAATAATAAAAACTAATAATTATTCACTAAAAGTTATTTTTTGCCTGGAATTATCTTTGAATAGACGAATTTTATAATTTTGTGCAAAAAATTTTCCATTTGCTTAAAAAATTCTCGTCATATAGCGAAATACGCAAAAAGTATAATTAACATTAAGAGGTAAGAGCGCTTTCCTGACCAAACTATTGGGATCCTATTTCACAGCTTGCTGCTATTTGGGGGAGGGGGGGGGTCAGAAATCCAAATCCATCGAAAAAAAGATATGTTTATTCAGCGAAAGTATGTTTTTGTGTCTGATTTCGTCACTTAAATTATCGTCAACGCTAATTAATTAGCATATTTGAGGTCACCCCCTCTAGCTTTGAAGATTGAGTCCCTTGAACGTGAAGATCTGATCACTTGATCAAAGGTTATTCAGGTTGGTCCATTTTTTATTTTCCGCATTGTACTTTCAATGTTGCTTGTTACTTTGAATTTTTTTGAAATAAATTTTTAAAAAAATGACGTTTTACTGTGTCCTTTCTATGTAATGGCAGTGATATTTTATATTTTTATTCTAACTGAATCATTTGTAATTTTATGCCTTTTTCTAATTTGCATAATGCTATTAGGTTATTACAAGATGCGTAGCGTTTTTGAAAAGTGCTTCATTTTCCAAAATGCAGGGCTGGATTACCCATTAGGCCTGACTCGGCCATGGCCTGGTGCCCCCAATGGCTAGGGGCCCACTGAAAAGGATTTTTTGAAAATAAATTTTAAAAAATTAAGAAAAACAATGATTTTTCAAAATGTTATGATTATTTTTTAGTTCTAATTTAATAAAATAAAGTAAAATTTAATTTATTATTATTTATTTTTATTTTAAGTGTGCTTTCTTAAATGAAAAGATGAATAAATACTTTTATATTTGAATAAATAAAAAATATACGAGAAAAAATTTAATCTAAGGGCCCCAAAAATGAATGGCCTAGGGCCCCGCGTACGCTTAATCCGGCCCTGCCAAAATGAGATACTTTATTTTTACCGTGTTTGGTTTTCGCCGTAGGGTAAATATTGGTAAATTTTTGCCATGGTTCCAAATGACGGAAAAAGCGTGATTTCCACATTGTTCTATTCAATGTTTTCACAATTCATTGAACCACAATCCATTTCGGCGCACTGTCGGTCCGTAGCGTATGAAAGTGCCTATCATTTTACACATTTGATGAAATACTGGCTGGTCCACATGTGAATACGCTGAGCTGGATTCATGTAGGATTTTTGCACTATCATGTGTAGCGGCATTTTGCAAGAGAGTCTCAATTTCAGGCTTCATTTTCCGCCCTCTGAAATCGAATCGAATAAGGTCTCGCATTTTTGCTAATAACGGGAACCAACTAAACAACAAAAATTTCTCTAATAGCAAAAGAAAATTTTATTTCTTTTAATTTCATCGTTGGTGAAGCATCATCGTATTAGTCACTGGCAACCTAATGGCCTTATAGTACTCTTTATTTATAGATCAGTGCTATAATCATTAAACTTGACTTGGGGATCATTCACTAATTACGTATTTTCATTTGGGTCCCTAGTGCAACCAAAATTAACAAAGCTTCCTCACCTCTAAATTTCCATCTCCCTATTATTCACTTAATTTAATAACAATAAGAATTTATTGAAATTTTTATTGTACTTTATTAATTTTATATTACTTATTACTTTTTATTATTGTATTATTACTTTTAAAATTTTCAGTGCTCTTAATTTGTTTTATGAAAAAGCTCAATAATATTTAGAGGCACTATTTTAAATGCAGCAGAAAATCTTTTGTTATGCAGATTTGCTATTCCTAAAAACTAATTCATCTCTTTATGATTTAAAAACAATTGAGTTTAGGGACCATATAATGATTTACTTCTAACAAAAATGTTTAGCTTGAATACTCGTATTTACATTTCAAAATTATTTAATTTTTATTTAATAATTTCAGTAAAGAAATACTGAACCAAGTAATAAATTTTAATAAAAATTTATTAGGGGCCATTCACTAATTTACATTTGTAATACCAATTTATAGAAGTTTTCTTAATTTGCTTTATAAATTCAATATAATCAATAACATTAATCTTGTTAATGTTTTGTTGAATATGCATTTATAAATAACTTTTATTTAAATCTAAAAGATTACTTGAATCTTTTTAAATAATAGTTAAAGTAATTATTATTTTTTAAATATAATTAGCCACTCAATATTATAGATATTTAAAATTGTGTATAAATTGTTTTGATGGAGGTACCAAGAAAAGAGTTATTTGTCAGAAACTAGTTATTTTATCATCATCGCGTGAAGTCTTTGAAAATTATTTTGCATTTTGTTAATGGGTATCATGTGAGGAACTTTAAGCAATGGGAAGAAAAAATTTTGTTAGTACACATTTATTATATTATGATATTTTTTTTTTGTTTCTGTTTTTTGAAGTGCTTGAAAATATTTTTTGAGTGCTTAAAAAGTGCTTATTTGTCGAAAAATTTGGCTACACACCTTGTATTAGGAAACATTCAATAGAATTTTTTGGGAAAAAAGAAACTCTTAGATTTTTATCAATGAAAAAAAAAAACAGAAAACCTTCAAAAAATATTCACAAAACTTTGTTATGTTTATTAATTTTTTTCAAAGAGTATTATTTCTTTTTATTTTAATGCTAGATTTTCATATTGTGATTGCCTTTTCTTTTTTTCTACTTTTTTAATTAAATCATTAAAAACAAGTTCTGGCTGATTTAAGTAATACTAAGTAAGCTTTTATGTTTAAATCATAAATTTATTGAAACACCTGATCTTTTCAGTGCTTTTAAAGATAGCAGATTTAGTCCAATTACTAGAGATGAGTTTGGTAAACTGCATGTCTCTGTTTCCATATTAAGGCATTTTGAAGAAGGAGAAGATTATATGGATTGGGAAGTAAGCATTGAAAAATTCCATTATATATAAAACTTTTTAAGCAATGATATATTTTTAACGTTCTAACTTGAATTTTGCATGCGTGTTAAAATTAGGGATGCAATCCGATTGGAGATTTTGGCTGGTTAAGTAAAAAATAATCTGTCTTTAGGGGCCATCAATAAATTATGTTTAGTTTAGAGGTAAGGGAGAAGGCTCTTGATAGTTTGCAGCAAGGTGGTGGGAGGGGGTATCGAGAAAAGTCCCTGATAATATACAAGAATGTGCAAATGCCATTCACAAAAAACTTGTTACTATCGTTGAAAACTTTTTATTAGTTATTACCGACAAAAGCAATCAAAATTTTCCTATTTTATTCCTCAATCAATATAAAATAATATTGCATACTTTTTCTTTGATGGTAATATCAAGTATGTAATTTGATTATAATATTTTATCAATTATAAAACATGTTGTAATGATTCAGTATTTATACTATTTATTTCTGTACTATTATATATTGTAAAGTGAATAGTGCTAGAAAGTAAGATTATTTAAGAATGGAAAAGTGATTCTTGTAAAAATATAATGTTAGCATCATAATGTTTTTGTGCAACAGACATACTAGATTTTAGAAAGCGGAGCATAAGCTAACACAAATAAGTCTAATTTCATACTTCCAAAAATTTATAAATTTTGAAGAAATATGTGCTTGTTATGTGTAATCGTCAATATAGAGTTTTTTTTTTTTTTTTTTCTTCTAAATTAAAAATACTTTTAATTTTCAAACAAATCAGCTGGCGAATACACAGATTAAGTACATGTAACAATCATTGTTGTTTTGAACACAAATGTTGTTAAAATACATAGTTACATTTTAAAATGATGTTAAAAGTTTTTATAGTTATAGTAATGATGTTTGTGTTTTTTAGATCTTTAAGTATGAAATGAAACAAAATCTAAATAAGAAGCAAATTTTAAATTTTTTTTTTTTTTTTTTTTTTTTTTTTTTTTTTTAAATTTATTTCTCAAGAACCTTCCCACCTAATTTAAGAACTGCCCGATATTTTAAGAAGAAAAATTGCGTTTTAAAAATGTGTAGTATTTGAGAAAAAAAAGTTTTTTTTAATAACAGTAAAAAATGTTTCAGGAATAAAGTAAATTTTAATTTAAATAATTGAAATCTTGAAAAAATGGTAAATATAGAATTATTCTAACTGAAAAAATGCAAAGAAAAAAATATGATATTATTTTGAATGAATGCTAACTGTCGACTGGTTTAAAAATAAAGAATAATTTACCTTAGGGGTTTTGATTTATGATATAATATTATACTGCCATTTGATTTTAAAAAAATATTATTAAACTTCACAGTATAAAACTTATTAATTGAAATTAATAAATATTGAAAATATGCTTTTTCGTAAATAAAAAATAAAGTAATTATCTGATCGGCCGAAAGCTACTTATTCGGCACAAGTAGACAAATTCTAACAATTCTATCCGAACTGTTTGGGACCGAGCATGGTTCGGATAATGAAAAGTTCGGATACTTGGAAAATTGTTTCAAATCTAGTGTGATTGATTATTATTTATGCACCAACTTCTCTTCGCACGTTTTGTAGGCTTAGGACTGGCAGTACTATCTGAAATTAAAATAGCTTTGGCGTGTTTATAAAGTTTGTTTTTTGTCAATTTTTAAATATTTTTAATTTTTTTTTCTTTTACTTTCTTTTTTATTTTGAATTATTTTTATCATATTTCAGTTTTTTTATAATTTTTTTGTCAATTATTGATTTTACCACATTTTTCATTATTTTCCATTGCAAAAGAAATCCAGCAAAGATTTCGTTTCAAAGAAGATAATTTTTTTTTTTTTTTGTGAGCAGCCATATATCTCTTATTCTTATTCTTTTTAAATAAATTAACTGAACTGGATCAAAATCATTTTGACGTTCTGATTCATTGCAAAATCTAATGAATTGCATGCTTCTATATGAGAAGGTCCACAATCTTGAACTTCATCACCTACTTCTTCCTCTTAGTCTGTGGAGTTCCAATTTTCACTCAAAATTTCAGCAACAATTTCAATATTTTCATTCCGAAAGATCTACTGGTTCAGAATCTTCAGTTTCGTTTGTTTTTCTGTTAAGAAATTTATTCTAAGATTTAAGATTCCTAGCACTGTAATCACTAATCATTAACCATAAGTGACAACTACCCATTCCCCAATTATAGAACTTTAGCACTTATCTATTCATAAACTCCTTCTGCATTCCAACCATTGTAAACTATAAATGAAGCTCGCATTCTTGGAAGATAATTTTCAGTTGTAAAGGGATATGTAGGTTTAACTGTATCGCAATACATGTATGTATGGCTACTATAAGAAAACTGCTAAAAAGGTTGTAAATTAAATATGGTCTTCAGATGTAGGGGATATTGTTTATTCTTTACTTTAAAAAAGTAAATTATTTATTCTATACTTTAAAAAAAAAGAATTCAGACATAGTTCGGATAATCGGCGCTCTACTGTACATCCAATGGACATCCTGGTCAATTTTCAATATGACTATTTTAATCTTTTACAGTTGTGAAATTTTGTATATATTTTCCAGATTGGTATCCATGGAATTCGAATAGAGTTTACTACGGAGAAGGGTTCAAAACGAACTGCTACATATTTACCAGAAGTTGCTTCTGAACAAGGTAAGTATATTCACTAATTCATTCTCTTAAACTTATTACGTTCCTTTTTTTTTTCTTTGAATTTACATGCATTGGTAAGTATTAAAATAGTCTTTTTAAAATAACTACAATTGTAAATTGAAAAAATTATAACTCATATATTATTTAAGAAGATTTTTTTTATATGAATTCTAGTTCATTCCTGTGTTATTTATTTTATTATTGTTGTTGTTTTTAAGTTTCTTAAATTTAGCACATAACCTTCTGAGGTCCAAGCATAATGCCTTTAGTCAAACAATGCACAATAAGTAGCCAAATGAGATTCAAAGTAAATAAGAAATAACATCTTCTTTTTCTTTTATAGCCCTACAGCCTGCAGTGAACCTTTGCTTGTTGAACAATGTTGTTCCAAACTTTACTCATCCTGGCCTTGGATTCCAAATTTGAAATTTCCATTATTGTTAGATCTTTTGTTGCATCATCTAACCATCTCTTATTTGGGCTTTAAAACAAAATTCTTTAACACTCTACCCAGAATGTTGTATATTTTACATTTGCTTATTTTGGTAAGCATTAACATGTGCAATTAGGGGGAAAGAAATTTCACAATTAGAATAGAGTTATTGTATGTCTACTATTTAATTTAAAGTTGAGCACAATTAACTATTTCCCTATTAATCGCTATCTTCTTTTTGATAGGGTGGGACCGCATCCAAACTATTGACTCTCTGCTACGAAAAGGTGGCTACAAAGGATCGATCAGCAGCGATGTGCGAAAATCCATCCGGCTTACCAGATACCAGAGTGAGAAACTCACGGTGAGCTATCCTGAGTACAAAGAGTATTGGAGGAGCAGAAATTGTTGACGCTACGCCTGACATAGCAGAAGAATTAAAATAATTGCTCAGTTTAGTATCAAAATTAAAATACATCACTGAATCCTTTTTTTTTTTTTTTTTTTCTATCATGTTTCCAAATTTCACTTAATAGTGGTTTACTAAATTGTGAGCAGGGCTTATTTATCACAAATCTGTATGCAGCACTACATAGGTGCCACTCTTCAGTCCTAAGAACTGAAATCAGTCTTGAAAAAAAGTCAGTAGTCCAAACTCCAATTAAGATCTATTTTCAATTTGTTCTTTTAATTAATTATTCAAAAACTTTTTTTTCTTAAAAAATTTTTAACAAATTTTCTGTTAAAAATAAATTTTAAAAAATTACTCTTTTTCATAATTATTGCTGCATTCTCCTTGTCATGTTTTGAAATGCTAGGGAAAGTTGAATTAATTTTTTTTTTAATGAATTTTATCTACCTAAGATAATGATGAAGTAAAAAATAAGTAGAGATCTGAATAGCTCCAAGATATTTATTCAGTGATTAATGCAAAATGATATAGTAAGTTAACTGTTTTATTTTTTTGTTTGCTGCAAAAATAGACAAATAAAATGAGGAGGAATAAATATTTTATTTTTAAAAAAAATGGACTAGTCATTGATATAATATAAGGGCTATTCTTGTGAAAAGGTACATTTTACAGTCAGTGAGCTATTAATTTCTGAAAATTCTGCTAAACAATGCTAGTATGTTACTTGGTAAAAAAAAAAGTTTCTGTGTTTGCATTTTTTTTTTTAGTTCCACCATTGTTACTACATTGTAAGTCGGGCTTGTTTATTACAAATCTGATTGCAACAATCATTTACTAAATTCTGAAAAGGATTTGTTTATCACAAATCTATGTTTTGATGTTCTGGTAAACTGAAAATAGAAGAAATAAATTAAGGAACTATAAATTTGTTTTAAAATTTTATTAAAATATACATTCAGATATGAAATACAGTAGTCTATGGCGAGTTTCTCCCAGTAACACTTAATAAAATTCACTATCTAACAAACTAGTTGCTTTTCAGTGAATTTTTTGGGCTTTTATTGTTTTTGATTTGCGTGACTTTCTAAGAACATGAACGGGTGTGCCCATTTCTGTACACACCACTCTCATTACACATGGCAGTTGAATTCTATGTAAAGGGAAATTACCCATTTCATACTTTCTTATGTAATATGCATAGTTCTTCCTAGACTAAATAAGGGCCAGTGATTCTTTGCAGGAAAGGGCATTTTGAGTTTTGAAAGGGCACTCTCTTAACACCGTAAAAATTTATTAAAATGTGTAATGTGTAATAACTGCTTTTTATCCTAAACCCTTTTCAAGTTACCATCTAATACTATTTTATGTATATATTTCAAAACTAATTTTATCTCATCATCTGAATAAGAGGAAAATTTGTAGTTTATAATTAATAATGCTAAGTGAAAATCTCTATGCATAACTTTTTTTTTCTCAAAAAAAAGTAAACTAAAAAAATTGTTTTTTAATTAACAGCTTAAAAGATTTTTCTATAATTTATACTGAAAATTATTAGAAAATAAAAATTTGAAAGTGCATTTTTTTAAAGGTATTTATTTAACGAATAATTTTAAAATCACTTAAAAATTTATTGAAAAAAGAGAAACTTATAAAAATTTAACCGATTGAAAATAATTCTAACAAAGCAAATATTTGTGATAGTAATCAGAATTAAACCTATAAACACAGATAGTTTTTGTGTGTAATTATTATTTTAACTGTTAATTGATATTTCTTAAAAATCGAATTACCATTTTGCATAAATGTGACTAAATTTGTTTAATACATTTTTGAATCTCTTCCTTCAATGCAGATGTGGGTTTTGTGACATAGACTTTTGACTTCAAATAATCCTTATAGTAAAAAACGCAATGTTGTTTAACTACACTACGTTGGTTGCCAATTTTGTTCACTAAAACAAGAGAATACACAACCAAAAAATTCCTCATGCAGTAATTAAATTGTTTCATGTGCTTTCACATATGAAAATATTTTGTTTTCACTTGCAGCTCTGCATTTTTACAAACCTAAAATTGCCAAGCTGTTTACTTTTTTTAATTGCCAATACTAAATCTTGTGTCAATTTTGGGACACTCATCATTTAAAAATTGAAAAGTGGGCAAGTTGTCATTTTTATGGTTGTTACTCTAATATTATGGATGAGAACTTTTGCTATCCCGTTTTCCATTTAAGTCCATTTATATGTGTAAATATTCATCTTTCTTTTTGTTTTGTATGAATATAAGGCTGACTTTGTAGATCCTGGGAAATGAAGTCTAAGAAAAATCTGGTCGAAGCACATTGCTCTTTACTTAACAGAAATATGTATATACATGTTATTTTGTTTTTTTAAGTAAGAATAATATATCTCGCATAAAAAATTTCATAAGGCATTATATTTCAGCTCATTATAAAAATTTTAGTTTCAGTGAGTGCTTATATGTTGAGAAAACATTTTTTACTGTTGCATTTATTTAATTTTGTGGACTGAATTTACAATTTTAATGTTATACTTTTTATTTTTGTTAAAAGAAAAAATTTCACTTGCCACTTTTGTGATCGCATTGAACATGGAAGTCATTATTTTAATTTCAATAACAGATACAAAATATTCTCTTAATTTATAATACGAAGAAAGTATTGGGAGAAAAAAAATTAATAATAATTACTAAAATTCTTTATTTTGCATTTTTTAATGTTACAAACTGTTACTTCTGGAACTATTATAACATTAAAAAACAATTGAATATGTCTTCCATAGTAGGAAATGCTGTTTAAATCCAGTAGAGAAACCTAGTGCTATGTTATCACTCACTGTGCTATGTTGATATGTGTATTTTAAAAATTTTAACTGCAGTGGTATGTCAACAGTTAGTATGGATTTTTACACTTATTGTAAGTAGTATTGTATCAAATCTTAACTTTCAGAGCAAATAAGATATCTGTGTGATCTTTTTCGATTGAAGCTGTATTAAATGTCTTTAGATCTTGGCTCATCAAAAATGTGAAAGATTATTTTTTTGCAAAATATTTTTTAAATTTTTTTTAAAATGTGTTATTCTTACTTACTCTTGTGACTTGGTATTATTTCATTCAATATTTTTAATTTTGATTCTCGCATCAAAATTTAATTTATTTTTATTGACTCGAAAACTTCTGGGTCTTTCTTTGGTGAAGTGTGAAAAGTCCAGATAAAATTCAGAATAAAATGTCTTAAAATGAATATCAAATGGTTTTTTTCTATGTGACAGGATTCAGTGACGTATATTAATTGTTGTGTAAATAAATACATATTTTTTTTAAACTTATATTCAACACTTCAGTAAACATTTCCTCGTTTTTCATTGTGTATATCAAGTGATTTTGTATCTATATGAAAAACATGAATACAAACTTAAAAGTTCTCTGGTATTTTGATTATATTATTTTTATGATTTTACAGAGAATTAAAGTTTTTATGTATAAAAATAATTCTATATCTTTTTTTTTCCTTCTGTGCCTCAAATGAGCAAAAAAAGAATTTTCCTTTTACTTAAAGTTTATTTTATACTTATAGAAAGGCTGCCACAGACCTGGGAAACAATGAAATCCTTTGATCGCTAATTTTGGTAGTATTTTGAGTTTCGGTGAAGGATTGTATTCTGTTACAATCATAGATTTACAAAGATTTTGCTCTTCACTTTAAATTTGCATAGGACTTGATTAATAAATCTTTAAATGCATAATAAAAATGCTTTGTGATATCCGTAATCACGAACTCGAGCTGAAGGGTGAAAAAATCAAGTAGTAGACAATCTGCGTAATGCACTTTTTGAAACACTTTTTCTTGTAAGAACTACTGTGATTGGCATGCTGTTCTATCACATGCTGTTTTCTGACACTATGTTATAATTTTCTTCGAATGGCAACATGTCTATGTCTAAATTTCTTTTTTACTCTTGTCTGCAATCAGTGACACTCTCTAAAATTAAAAACAAATAAAGTTTCGTTAATGTCATATAAGTTGTAAACATTGTTGATAAATTTCTTGAAAATAATTATACTAAAGCGTACACTTATCACAATTGTAATTATTTGAACCTGACACAAAGTAACGAACTAAATCAATGAAGTAATTGATTTTGTTTCTGTAGAAAACACTTCAATTGTGCAACAGAAAAAAACTTTGGACAAGAAATAATTATAATTACAATTTTTTCTTCTCCTGAAAAATCTTGAAAACTGATTTTAAAAAAAGTTATATGATTAACATTAAAAATAGTTGTACGCTTATTTTTAAAATAAAACCAGATAGATGATTTAAGGATTATTTTTTTTAAAAGTAAATTATAAAAGTAACCAACAATAGTGAGTCACAAAAGATAGTAATAAATAAATAATAATGCATTCATTTTTATTCTTTTTTCACTTCCTAAAACTTCTCAAGATTTTATGAACTTATATTATTTGTAAAAACACTTTTAAAGTTGATGAATCACAATTACAGTCCTATTCAAATTTTGTATTAAATCAAAAACATTTATACATATTCCTGTGAAAACATCGTTATGTATGACAGTACAAAGAAATAATTATTTATTCATATTGTGTAGCGAAAATGTTTTTTCACATTTCAAAAAAGAAAGAGGGAGGGGAGTTAAAATTATGCTAATCATAAATTTCGAATTAAAAAAACTATTGATTCTGATTCATAATTGATTTCACCCAAATCTAGTCCTTCACAATGTTTATTACAAATCGAAACCAAACGACAACTCGGACTGACCTCTAAAATCCGCAAAATGCTAGATTTTTCTTCATATTCAGGGGCCTGATCGCGATTTTCCAATCCAGCGGTGTTACAATAACAGTATAAAGATTTTATAAAACTTAGTATTTTGTTTGCATCAACAAAGTTTATGCAGAGCTTTGAACGATGTATAACAACCGACTCATAAATTAAGTTCTGAAAATTAAAATGTTCCTAAACAATAGCTTGCTAATTAAAGAAGCATAATCGTAAACAATTTTCTACTTCAATTAAAAAGCTAAGCAATAAATGTTCATCTCTGAGTTTTGTTACAGACAATCGAGTGTTCAATACATGCATATTGCTTTAAAATTGAAAAACAAAAAAAAACTACTTAATAGTTTTAAAACAAGTTATTAAAGAGTAAATAAGTTCGTTCTTACATCTATACCATAAACCTTAAAGGAAAATTAATTAAAAATTGTGAAAATCACGGATTTTTAATCGTAAGATTATTTTTTTATTGTGGAATATATTCTTTTGAAATTGTGATTGATTTACATTAATTTGCTTAGGCAACGATATTATGCTTTTTTTTATATATATACAGTAGGGAACATCGCTATTCCGGATAACTGATTTTTCCGGTTTTATGAATCGTACAAAAAGCCGTTTTTTTTTATTGTTAAACCCAACTGAAAAAAAAAAAAATATTTGGAAAATAATCTTAAAAAGAAGTAAAAACGATGAAGTAATTAATACAGTAATGATTATTTCTAAAATGATAGTATGGTAAACATCTTTCAAAAAAGAAAAAAAAATCCTAAAATCTTATGAGGAAAAAAAAATTTTTTTTTTAGGATGGCGGGAAAACTTATTGAATTTCGTTCCGGTTTTTTGGTTTTCTGATTTCCGGATAACGGGTTCTGTACTGTATATATAATAACGGCAATGGGCAGTTTTTTTTTTTTAATTTAGCACAATTTTAAAGGAATAACAGAGCAACTTAATATAAATAATTTTTATTCAATTGTAAAATAGAAACGAAATGTTCAATAAGAAAAAAGAAGCAGAATTATTTGAATTAACTTTTACTAACCCAGTATAAATATGAGATCAACTCCTCTTAAGTAAAATTGTCGATCAAATGAGTCATTCAATTTTTTTAATTCATTGAGATTTGCATTTGTTCGTGCATATTTGCATCACTACATAGTTATTAAATTTTCTAGTAGAAAATATTTTAGGTAAAGACTTCGTGCACCATCAGAGATTTCTTTATTGCGTACAAAAAAAAATTTAATTTTATTTATTAAAAATAATGGGTAAATTACAGCATTGATTTTCCGTGTGAAAAAAAATAAGATAAGCTATATAATAAGATGTCAATTCTAGAAATTATCAGTTGATATTGTCATATCAAAGGAAGACAACACGAAGATGCATCCGCTACCTACGCTACAGACAGGGTGCGTAGCGTTTTTAAAAGGTGCTTTTTTTAATGGGTGTTTTTAAAAAGTGCTTAATTTTCCCTTTTCGAAAATGAGATTTTTTTTCTTTACCATGTCGATTTGCGCCACGTATTATGCAAAAGCTTGGTTTTCACATTGTTCTATTCAGCGTTTTCACACATCATTCAGACGCTATGCATTTAGGCATACCATCGTTTGACATGTTGCATGAAATACTTGCGGGTGCT